CGAAGTCTGATTGCAGCCATTTTTGAAGTGGCAACCCTCAACTTTCTCGGGCACTTAGGACCATTTTTCAACCGTAGTTTTCAGCCCTTCTGCCCTCATATGAAAGCTTTAAGACCCAGGGAGTTGATCCTGGCAAAGATTTACACAATCTCACCATTTTGGGGGCCAAACAATCTCCTTTTCAAAAGATACTGTGCGGGCACTTTTAATGCTAATGAGCTGGTTAGAAATTCTCACTTGAATTAGTGGTCTGCACCCTCAAAGGACGCCTGTTAGACGTCTGGAGACTAGGTACTGGACGGGAACCAATCTATTGAATTGACACGACTCAGTTCTTGTCAGCAAAGGTTAGATTAAACATTAGAATCTTTCGTAAAAGTAGATCATGGATTCAAGTTTTTTCCTAAATTTTAATGCAAAATTATGTTTATGATTTTTTTATTTTGGCTTTTTAAAGATTTTTTTAGATTTTTGTTAGTGACAGTTTCTATAAATTGATGCAAGCAAATAGGTTCTAAATATATATCCAAGGGTTCTGGAAGCGCGCCATCAGGGATAAACTTTCAGGCTTTATTCTTAGAAATAACACAAAATGATTTGAGCAACAGTAATAACAGGAAAAATGCACGTTTCCGCGTATGACATGAACCTTATGCACAAAATCTACTTAACTTGATTAATGTAAAGTAATCTCCCACAAGGCTGAGCGACGCCAGTACCCCCTTTACAAAATTTTCTACAAATAGCATTTGTCCATCACGGCTCTTCATCTGAAACCTAAAGTACACTAACATAATTTTGTTAATACAGGTCCGGGTACTTAAACATCATTAACATTCAAATACAGTTCCAGGAGAAGTTTAGATTTCAACCAACAAGTCCGGTCAATAGACCTTTTAACTAATACATTCATAGTTATTATGCACGCATGCGCACGGCCTTGGCGGCAATGGTCAGTGAAAATGTACAGGGGTACGATTCTCTCAGGTTCTTTGGCTTTGTTCTTTTTTTCTTCAGAAAATCCCATTAAATTGTTTTTGCTACTAGTTTGAAGTCTGAGTAGGAGTTTTAGTGCTCTGTAAAGTGAATTTAAAATCGTGATTTCTCCTGAGCGCCCGAGATTAAGCGGGAAAAATTGAACAAAGCCAGAAAACCTGAGAGAAAATTATCAAAATCGCAATCCTTTACATTTTCAATTACCCTTGCCGCCAAGGCCATTTGTGTGCATGCGTGCATGATTATAATTTATCAGTGAAAGAGCAGTATTGCGATCCGTGTTTAGAACTTGGTGTCGTTACGACAATAAGGCATTCATGCTAACGTCAGGTCCATCCTGCTTTTTCCGCATTTTGGCAAGAACCTGGAGAAAGTAATGATGGAAAAGAATACGGTAGGTTTTTAAGTCGACATTTGAAGTTCTGTTGCTAAGCTGTTGGGTTGTTTTAGTTTAATGGCGCTTTCAGCTACTCGGCGTTTTGCGCCAATAACTATACGTTTATACATGACCTTTATTAATTAGCATCACATTAGGGAGTTAGGAAGAAGGTCCAATTTTAGAGGCAGGAGGAAACCGGAGTACCCGGAGAAAGCAGGCAAGAGCGAGTATGGACTGGAAACCAAATGCACTTAAAGCCTGGGTCAAGCCGGGACTCAACCCCGGGCCTCATTGGTGCAAAGCGAGTAAAGAACCACTATGCTAACCCGCTCCCTCCAGCTGTCATGATGCTTTGCGTTTAGGGTTATTTCTTGTGGCGACTTTGCTATCATGGCTTACTTGTCCTAATGGTAAAGTACCTTGACAACCACCAGCAAGATGATGAGTAAGATGCAACAGGCAGCCAGGACACCTACAGCGACGGTCAATCCAGACTCTAAGTATGACTCTGCTGTATGAACAAAACCAAAAATTACCGGCTCCATTATTGCAGGAGCTTGCTAAGATTCATTCTGTAATTGGCCACAATAAAAATCATATTGTGCTCAATCAAAAGTTCTCATGTTAAATGGTCAGCTTTGATGACCACAATTTAGTACTGGAATTGCTGCCTCTTGTAATTTCCGAGGCTTCATAGTTGGCCAAAAAGTATCAATGGATGTTGCTTTGGTGGTAAATGTTTTAGTTTATACAACACATCAAATCAAATCAATTTCTGAACTACATAGTCAGCGTTTGAAACACAACAATGTTGTAAAGCTGAACAAACAAATTGACTGGAGAAGGGTTTGAACCTGTAACCTCAGTAATATCGTACTGGAGCTCTTCCAACTTCGAAATTCAGCTCTGTGTTACAGGTTGCTCCCATTTTGTCAGTCTCATTATTCGGGAAAAACAATAGTGTTGTAAACCTTATGGATGTTTACTTAAATTTGACGTGTGTCTGTTATTTTACCTTGGTTGGATCTTAGCTCGGAAGCAGGTGAGATTTTTGCTATGAAAATATAAAGCAAACCATTTTGAATTATAAAGAGCACACATGTGAGTGAATTGTAATCATTCCATTCTATGGGCTTATGCCTTTCAATCTAATGACACGATCAATCGCTGAGGTATACAATCGATACTTACATTTGACCTTGACGTGGGTGCTGTCCACTCTTGTTAATGGTTCTATACCAGCAGATGTTGAAACAACGCAAACATAGTTTCCTGTGTCGTTGATAGTGGCATTGGATATTACAACCTTGAAATGATACCAGATGAAATTGAAGACATTAAAAATAAATCACGCTGAACATCAAGTCTATGAAAAATAGCTTGAGCTTTCAAGTGGTTTTTTTTTTGGTGCAAAAGCTGCCATAGTCCCACAGTCAACTTAAGGGACCTTTATACTCTACGTACAAAAGAATGAAAAACTCACTCTTAATTAAAAGGAATGAGTCCCTTTCAAAAACCACTCCAAAAGAGTATAAAACCACTCTGAAGTGAGTACAAAGCACTTCAAGTATTTCCACTCTTCTAAGGAGCCATATCATAATGTCTTATTTTTTGCTAGACGAACATGATGGCAAAGTTAAGGCAAAAGAGAGACTGCATCTACGGAACGTATTGTCTCATGTTTGTACCTTTCCAGAACCCAGGTCAAAGGTTATGTAAGGTGTTGTATAATATCCCTATAAATAGAAATGTAAACAAAAAGTGTCCTCCATTAAGTTCCTCTTTTGAGTAATGTTCACTTTTTGGAGTGGTATTCACCCTTTTTAGAACAGTTTTAACCCTTTTAGAGTGGTTTTACTATTTGAAGTGGATTTAAATAGGACTCTTTTTGAGAGTGGTTATATACTCTTTTGCATTTAGGTAGATGCACTGAGGTATCGGTGATGACCTGTGTCAAAAGTGAAGTTTGGCAAAATCGATTGGCAGACCTACCCTGTGGTAACCATTCTCCTCGTTATCCAAATAAAAGCGGGTCCTGTCTTCTGGGAGGGGTCTGTGAGAGGAATGTGCAATCAGGTGTTGAATTTGAAGAGAATAGTCACTCTTAGGGATGTTCACATGACATGTCAACTCAATCAATCCTCCCTCCATCACGTCACTTGTAGAGTGCAGTCTCACCCTGACGTCAGCTGACGGATCATCAATTAGGAGAAACGACATGAAAGGAAATAAATGATTACCGTTTCAATCAAAGATCATGCGCAGTGCGTATCAATAAATGAATGATTTACTCAGCTAAGTTTATATGTTTTTTTAATATCCATACTTTTATTTTAAGTTACTTTTTGTAATTTTAAATTTTTCTTCATACTTCTCAAGGTAACTTCTGTTTATCATAAATCAAACATTTTTTCATGTGACTTGCTGTTTGTTAGTCTTCATGAAATAAACCGCAATGAGTGAAGGAGTGAAAAAAGGTGATTTGTCTTAATATTCCTTTTCATTTATTGACCAAATGTCCGTTTTAATCTCGGGCAGAAAATGAGAGTTCAAATTCCGGCTGCTGACTTTTATAGATGATAAGTTTGATGACTAAATGTGGATTATATGTGTGAATCCTGAACCGACCTGTGTCACACACCATGCCATGGAATCGCCTTAAGCAGCGACACCTGCCAACGTCTGAGCAGTAACCTCCTGATACGCACGAACACTGCTCACTGCTATCAAGGCAAGGTCCAGAATCGCCAGATCCTTCATCACGACATGCTGTTAAAATAGCAGAAATACAGGTGATGTCATATTAATGTGTCTTGTGGGTAGGCCTTTGGGTGAGACCTATTATTTCTCATAATGATTTGCTTCAATCTTTTTGAAGAAAGAGTGAAGAAATTCGTATTTAATGGAAATTAGGAAATAAATTGTAAATACCCCAGTTTGTAGTTGAAGGTTGCTTTGTGGATATGGACATTAGAAGTAACAAAAGCGTCAAAACACCATAAGGATAATCATAGACCGGTAGGAAGTATACAGAAAACTCAAAGCAGCACAATGCGCATGGTAATTAAACAACATGTTTAGTCGTATACGTATTCAATCTCACTGTCATGACGGACTTTGCTGTCAAACTACAATAGAGGGATCCCAGTACGACGCTTTTAGCGTCGATCTGCGCACTTCTGCGTTTCAAAACGAGGCTGTATTTGTCAGCTTCACTTCTTAATACGATCAGACGAGTGAAAGGAGTCAAGATACAAAATACATAAATTTAGACTTTTCAGGCTGCAAATTTTGGTAGAAGAGTCTTTCAGGATGACTCGACACGTAAAATCAAAAGAAAAAAATAACCGTTACAATTTACCGCGAACTAACGTACCTGCGATGGTCGTGTATCTGCATGGTTTAAACTGAAGCGGCGTCACAGTTACAAACCGGATACAGCATGTACTTAATAGTCGACTCCGGGGGCGCGTGCGACGAAGTTCATCACAGAGAGCCTCGGTCTCGATGCGGAATTGCGCAGACGGCGCTAATGTGAAATCCCTCCATGGATTCGTTGGTGTTTTTAAAAAGTATTTGACTATTTCCTCTTGTGTGCATTAGTGTTTACGCCTCGAAAGACTTCGAAAGACTTACAAGGTAAAGCACACACCACAGAAAAACCATCCTGCGTGCGCGAACACTCCACGTCATTCCAGCTGCCTGTACCATAGTCCAAGGTTGCGCAATCCTCATTGTTGTTGCTATCGTTGGGCTCGCGGGGTCGCCAATTTCTTCCGAAATCCAAACACATGCATACCAATTAATGAGTCATTAATCTTAATATCTGTACACAACTATAACAGCTCCAAGCGCCAGAGCTTGTCGGACTTTTGACAAGTCAGTTCATAAAGTAGATAACATGATTTCGAATGATTTGATGCAAAGAAAGTCTACGCAGTTCTATATGCAACGAGTTAAGCGAGACAGACAACCATTTCTGGCCAATGTTTGGCGGACTCCAGTAGCGGATCCAGGATTTTCTAAAGGGGGGGGGGTTGCGAGTGCATAGCGCGAATCCCTCATTTGGGATTCTAGGCTCCCTGTGAGCAATTTCAGGAAGCATATGACCCCTCTTTGTTTCTTGTCCCTCCGGCATTTTTTGTTTATTCATTTAATACTTTGGTCAAAGGGGGGGGGTGCACCCCCAGGCCCCTGGATCCACGCCTGGACTCTGCTGTTCTGAGCGTTACACAAAGTTTTTTTTATGGGTATCTACCATATTTGGCTGTTGTTGTCACGCTAACCTGTTTCAAAGTTTACTGTGAGATAAACAACTGCAATGCAAGGAAATTCTTTGAAATGTATCCTGACAAATACATCGAACTTGAAAGCTTTGTAGAATTTGATGATGAAACTATACCTGAATGTTATGCTGCTTCCATCAATCCACTTAAAGAACCCTTCGTGTTCAGAGTCAGTCAGACCAATCCAAACTAGTGGATTCGCTAACTTGGATAAAAAAGTCTGGAATGAAATTACAAGAGAAAAAAAGCAATACAAAACTTGGAATATCACACAATCGAAGTGAACGTATCAAACTACAATTAAAAGAACACAAGCTTATTTGCAAATAAAACTAATCATTACATCTGAGAATTATCCACAGCACAGAAAATCGCCACTCTCAAATCAACCGCTTTCGCTTCTTGACCGTCAGCGACAAATCTTCAGTGTTTTCACGAAACGACAAAAACCCGGAAAATTGATAATTTTTCGATCTGAAGTCTTCCCTACAATTTTACTTCCTTTTATGCAAAGAACATAATTTAATTAGCAGAATATCAGAGCAAAATGCTGTTTACTTTCCTGGTAACTGTAAACAAACAGCTAACAAAAACCTGGCCTCTTCGCTTTTCTGTTCTCACGAAGCTACAAAAAGTCACATCAGGACAAAATTAGAGAGAATTATACACAATCCCTGTACGACTCTGTCTGTATACACATCCTTGCGAACAATGTTGTGCATGAAAACCTGCGCTCGTGTTGAAATGTAACGAAATGTAACCATTTTCTTCAAGCGCGTATGTTTTTTCACGAAGTGACAAAAATTATTGTGTATTATGCATTAAGAAAAAATGAAGTCCAGCGGGTTTTTCTGTTTTCACCAAGTGAAAAAACTTTTATTGGGTTTTATTAATTAATTATTCTTTAATTAAGACAATCTATCTGTAAGTATGGATTAGCATTTGCCAAGTCATATATTTCACGACTTTGTAAAAATTCCTTAACCTGTAGCATAAAAATGATTAAATATGTGTATTGAAAAAGCTGGTATTTTCAAACGCGTTTATTTCAGATTGTCCATTGCTAGATTTTGAGGTTTTTTGTCACTTCGTGAAAATACCGACGAAATATTTATAAAGTTCTGATAAGATGAACACTATTTTAAGCAGGATTTTGTCGAAGATTTCCTGTACTGCTCATCAATTCGCCTCTAATTACCATACATCCGAATTGTCTTTGAAACTGCGAGAGGCTGGCTATGTGGCCTACGTACCTTACTCCACACAAGCTTCACACAACCTGCACTGTGTGCACGTCTGTTGCTCCACACAAGGTATGTAAACAAAATTTAAACCAAACTTACCTTGATCTAACCTCAAAAGACATATCGATTCCAATCAGAAGCCAGCATCTTATCCGCACACCTAATGTGGCACTACATCATTAACTGTACAAACTGAAAAAGCTTATAATGTCGTGAAAATCTTTGACATACATTGAGTTCCCCATCATGGATGACAACCAATTGTGCTCCCCTCTCAATCTCTTCACACGCTGCCTCGGCACCCGACATGGACAACCTGGTCCCATTTACTTTCCAGTAACAGCGATCACGGAAAAATATACCTCCGCTGTGGCAAATGGGATGATTGGCTGCAGCAAAAAACAGATATGAAATTCTTAATTTGGTGATTGGGATCGTATCAATACAATGGAAAACAATTACATGAATAAGCAAGGGAAAAGAGAACCGCAAGGGGGGGTTGCACCTTTCACACAAGGACAGGTAAATGACCCTTTGCTAAATTGATGGGTACCATCGAACTATCCTGTCGGTAATAGCAACTTTTGCCAAATGATGCGAACTATAGAGCTGCTTTACACCAAGCAAATAATAATACTAAAATTTATATTTTAAACACGAAAATACCTACCGATAACATCAAGATTGGAAACATAACAGTATGTGCGTATCTTTGAAATGGCAGAGTTCCTCATTTTTCCCACCAAGGGAGATCAGCCGTGCAAAACCCGTGCCATGTGTATCAAGACTTTCATGGTCGCAAATGTTCCTGCCTCAAAATTGAACAGTTAATACCTCTGTGATAAATCAAACTGAAATAAACATATCTTCACTGGGCGTACATATACTTATGACTTATGCCAGAAAATTTTATTAGAAATCTTACTTACGCGTTGACGAGCATGCGTAGTGGTGCTCAGAATGACACTGCGTATCCACCCATACACCTCCAAGGTGAGACACAATTGCGCAGTTATGATTAGAAGAGTTCCAGGGATGAGTATAGCCCCAATTACTACGACAAATTGAGAACGTAAAGTTACTAGTTTCTGTTCAGGTAAAACCTGTCAAAGGATATATTGAAAATAGCATCTCATGGGCCAATCTAACCCACCGACTCACCCCCTTAGAATGCTGCGGCGACCACCTAGTGTGCAAAAATCCCTGTTTTATTTCATTTTTTGCTGAGTTTTCGTTCTGTTCCTCCTTTCTTGACATTGGGTATAGATGTGGAACTGTCTCTGGAGTCATGTTTTTGTGGGCTTGTGTGTATTTGGTGCTTTTCCTGAGCGAATTCAGCCAAATTCTTGCCAGTCCCTCCGAGTCTGGAAATGGACACGTACGACCATTGCTCATTATGTTCAAGGGACATGAGCTGCTGCAGTTACCGCCCTCAGCTAGGCCCTACCCATCACAGACATTCCACCGGAGATACGTGTACCGCGACATAAGCAAGGGGGGAAACGGAGGCATTCGTCAAGGCCTGCATGAACGAACGCTATGAATACCAGGACAGCGGGTCATGTACTTCAGTGAAATTGGTTTAAAAAGTCGATACTCTGGCCGTTTATTGATGGCTTTCTTTGTGAGCGTATGGACAGAAACTCGGACCCCCATAAGGTGAGTGGAGGCGGAGTATGTGTCCATAATTTATCAATGAAAGATGGTGTACAGATGTCACAGTAAAACATAGATACTGTTCACAGGACACTGAGTTTCACAGGACTTTGAATTTCCAACCATTGCCCTGAGTCCATTTTTTACCTCCCAAGGGAGTTTAACCAAATATTTCTTACTGTCGACAGCAATTGTGGTTGACGGGAAGACTACTTCCAAACGAAATACCAAGGCTTTCTAGCTGAAATGTCCTCGTCGCTAGTGCTGTAATCCACGAAACGATCGATGGCGGTGATTTAGTGCAAATCAGCCTACATACTGACTCATAATCCACAGTAAGTCTTCAGTGAGAATAAAATTGGTTGGTTGAACACGTGAAATCAACGAACAAAAATACTCTTCTGTGATTAAATTTGAACAACTTACGTGTAGTTTGGGTACGTGCCATCGACCCAGGACCACTGTCCGTCTGCATGTATATCATGTAGACCAATCCACATATCATGATAGGGCAGTGTCGCATGCAACCAGTCCTGAAACAGGCCAAAACTTGACGTTACACCAACGGAAACAACTTTTATTATTATTTCACTGATCTCGTTTTTGGTTTTTAATAATAAAGGAATGGGAAATGATAAAAGACTTAAGTCCTTCCATTCATTTTTGGGACAATAGTGTCTGCTTTTTTAAACTTAAAACTGACAAAAATGCACAAAATTCAGTTTATATCGCTCGTGTTTCCTCGAGTCAGTGAATTCCCTTTTGTTGGAGTCAAGTCATAATATCTAATGACTTAACTCGACTCGAGTCACTGTGAGCAAATGACTCGGCTCGAGTCGAGTCCCTTATCATAAGACTGAATCTCCGAAATGTCTAATTTAAAACAACTTAACTTGGAAATATGGCATCATGAAATTCAATGAGAATGTAACTCAGAAATCCGGAAATCAATGATAATGTATCTCTGAAAATCAGAATTCAATTATCATGACGTATATAATTTCTAACTAATTTCTATATAATTTCTGACTCGCGCCACAAAACTGAGTGACTAGTATTCTTCGGAACGACATGATCGATGATCATGATTTGGTCACAAATTTGTATGCAAGTATTTGCAACCGGCGAACAACTTGGCCTAACCTTTGGGGGAGCGGCCAACGCCTCAGTCATCACTCGCAGTGACTGATTTGTTATATACGTGCAACACATACATCCTACCATGAATTTAACGAACAAATAATGACAACAATCAAAATATTTAATGTATGTTTTTTCTTCATGAACGTATTTTTGGCAAACTCTTTTGATTCAAATCTATCTGAGGTCTCGATCTCACCTCTTGTTCTTGGTTGGTAATCACAGGCAACCGAACATTACCACCATATTGGCTGCATTTGTGATTTGCGTCGAGCCAATTAGCCGGTTCTGTGCTAAACCAGTAGCAACGACCCTGGAACTGGACACCATCGGAGCAAATTTGGGGATGACTTTTATCTGAGAAAGAGGTTGAGAAATGGACGAAAGGAAAGAGAGTCAGGAGAGCAGCGAAGGAGGAATCGGAGCCATGATGTCCGCCCAAATACACTGGATAGATGTCCTCTCATCTTCCACATAATTTTGTAGACGCAAACACCATTTATTTTTGCTTGGCGGACGGAGTAATGTGACAAAGAAGATTTGCGGTTGAACTTTGTAAAATCTCCTTTGTGAACCAGCGAGGTTCTGAAAAGAACATGTTGACAAAATGTTTCGGACGGCATTATCTCGTCATTGTCAGGTGTGAAAAGAGTGAAAAACATATTCTCTAAAACAGGGAGTCCCTCATACCCTCCAAGATGGTGAAAACAACCCTAAAAGAGGGAATAAGGTCTTGAAGAGTGAAACTTGCACCAAAAGATGGGCAAATATGAGGGACAACTATTTTTTACTTGAAATTGCTGTCTGTTGGAATGATTTTTGCTCTCTCTGGTTTCCACTCTCTTGTGTAGGCCAAGTGGGTTTATACTAAAGGACTCACTTTTTGAGAGTTTTTTTTCATTCTGTTGCATTTAACAGAGTTATACCTATCGTAGTCATTGGGTTTGATGTCACAGGACTAGACTGACATGATGTAAATAGGTTGCCTGCGAATTTTGTTACACTGGGAACACCAATAATGCTGGTTCATTGTCTTAATATTTCCCCATATTTTTGGCGTTTTAAAACGTTTGATATTCAGGTATTGTACGTATCACTTCCTGATTTGAGGCTTGGGGGAACATGCATTTTCATTGTCGATTTTATTTTAATAAATAACAAATATGCCAGTCAGCTGGTCAGTTATAAAAAAAAATGGATCGTAATTGATGGACTTACCAGACTGGCAATACACCTTCAGAATACAGGAAACTAGATGAGCTAAGAAGATCCGTGAACTCAACCCGGGCATGCTTCAAGTCCACAGCTATCACGGAAACAGGACCAATGGAACGGAAGGAACAGCTGATTTGTAAAGCCGAACTTGTATATTCTTACTAGGACAAAGACATGCATGCATACGATGCTTGTTTCTTCAATGGCACAAACAGGAAAAGCCATACACAATACGATAACAGCAGTTTGACGAGCAAAATGTCGGGTACAGGTTGGTCTATAGACCCTTTCACCCACGTGACTGGATAGCGCTAAATGTAAACACTGTACTGCCACCATGTGTGGCCCGCCCTGGCCATGGTGATTCCACAAATTCCTACGGGCAGCTTCAACCACGTGCAAATACTGCATGCTTGACTAGTTTATCTTGAATAAGTAGATTACCATCAGAACACATCACGATTGTGACATCACAGGAAAAAGGTCTATAGGTGCAGACAATGGGGGCTTAGTTATTCGTATATACAAGGAAGAGACGTCCAAAGTAGAAAGGAGTTACTACTATGTGCAGTGATGGTAACAATGCTTCTATCTGACGTTTAACAATTACTTTGTAATATTTCTGTCTTTATGACTTGTATTGCAATTTAAGGGATGTTAATGGCGACAAATCTGTAGGCACCGGCAGTTAGCGGCCTCTGCATTATCTCGCACGCTGCGGGGGGACACGTGCACGCGTGATGTCTGGAGATGAGTGTGACACGTGGTTGTCGGCATGCACGTGATCGATAAACAGTGTGGGGGGGTTACTGAATCATCCCCCATCGTCTTGCGACTATTAAAACTTAACTGGATCGTGAAAAAATTGTCAGACTTCCAACGATTAAAATGCTTTTAATATTATTCGAAAAAGGAAAAACAATTTTCGAAAGCCATAAATATGCAAATCTGAATACACATTAAAGGTGTACATCGATATTATAAACAACGACCTCTATATAAAGTCGTATGGTGTCCTTCCCCACCCTTCTTTCAAATTTTCATGGCCGAGTGAGTCATCCCCACACCTTCCCCCATCCTCCATACCCCATTTCAGGCAGAAATTTACGCCAATGGATTTTAACACTCCATACAAACCTTACTGCTACAGGTCCCGTTCGATCAACTGTTTTCACAAAATAAAACTTACACGAATTTTTAGTTTTACGTCTTCTTCAAAACACTGAATAGGCCTCGGACTAGAATTCCACGTATTTGAAAATGGCTAAAATAAATTCTTAATCATTTTCTGAAAACAAAACTTGAAACCTCAATTGCACCTTTATACACAGCTGATTGGTGTTTCGGTTAGTTTTAGCATGTCGTAGACTGATTTTCAAATAATTATTTATCACAATGAGTACCAGAAATTCATGTAGGTCAGAACTTCTTCATGTACCCTAAGCCTACATGGATTCTAATGTAGAAGTGGGCAACCGATGTACAGTACTGAAAACAATATCCGTAAGACCCAAAACAAAAGTCTTTCGTCTCTGGTTAGCGCGCATCGATTTCAAGCCTGCGCGTCAATGTTTTCTCAGAGAGCTGCACCTGCTATTGCCACACTGCATCAACATTTTTGGGGCAGCTCAGTCTTTTACTTAGGATGATAGATTCCGACAAGACCGATGTTGAACAATGCTAGACTATGGAAACTAAGTTGTTTGATGTCAGCTTATAATCATATGTCATTTTCCAATACTCAACTTTGTCTCCGTCTCAGGTTCGTTTCCGAAACCAATTCCCGACTGTAGGCCTGAAGCGTTTAAATTAAATTGAAGTACTGTAATGTTAGACTCTTTTGCATCTTACTTGATATTTTTTGCACTATTCGAAGTCAGGTAGCAAAAAAGCATATGAAGCCTGATACGGATCCGAAGTCGAGTATTGGAAAAGGGCCATAATAAAGCTGGTCTAGTCCCATGACTCGATACGTGTGTCTGCACAATCCAACCCTGGAGGATGGGGAAAAAGCTGCGTCACCGCACCGATTCCGGACCATCAATCTGACCAGAGACAAACTACTTTCCTTTTTCGATGGGCCTAAGGAAAGTGTAACATAACTTTACTTATAATATTAGTAGTGCTACAACATGCCGGTACCTTGTCTTGAACTGGAGCTATGAGTTGGCTTTCCACTCCGTGATATCAGTATACGTCGTTCGTTTTCTACTGGCTTACAACTAACGACACGATTCTAAGGGTGGGCTGTTGCTTATATATCGTTGATGGAGGCTTGTGGGTGAAAATAGGTACCAGTCAATTTACGGATGTCCCTGAGTTGCACTGGATACTTGGTGTAAATAGCCAGATTCCGGTGTTAACCATGTAAGAAATGTTTAAATGGTGCATCAAGTAGCTAGTCAGACTCGAACCATGTTGATCACACCGGCACATCCTACGGAAGGAATCTGTAAAAATTAAACACTCATATACAGTCAGGGAGCGCTCTCACGCTGACACCGTATTTTACCGCCGAATTTTAAATCATGGACGGAGATCCTGGGGAAATCATTCCTCCCCAAATGAGATTTCTTATTGGTGGATCCGCCCATGTGCCAAGCTAATTTCACCAACAACTCATACATGCACCTGTTGTCGAGTAAAACTTGCACTCCATTATTTCCCAGTAAGCTTGTCTTTAGTAACATAACTTGAGGTTGATAAAACGGTGGTATACAACATAATGGAAGTTAATACATTTTTTGAGCACTCAGAAATGTAGGGATCACTCGATGGAGGCCTGCATTGGGTAACACTTCGGTGCACAATCTTTGCTGAACGCGAAGGATTTGATAGACTTTCATGTATGCTATACATGTATATTTTGCTTGCGTTGTTTTCGAAAACAACCAGTTTCTCAGTGACTCAGAGACAGTAATTTTTGAGCTGGGGGAGGTAGAATTTATATTCTTCAACGACTGTCGCAAATTTGTCTGTATAAAAAGGCGCCTTTCAATGTGTCCGTTTTGGGTGTGCGTTGTACACATGATGCGTTCATGCATTTCACTTTCCCGGACACAAAAATAGACTCCACATCACACAAGCGTGCGTTGCGTTCGGCTGTCAAAATCGCCCCGGGAGCGATTTTGACGGATACGGAACGCTTGGCGCAATTGTCGATGCCCATATGGAAAGGTGCTTTAAGAAGGATTCTTTCCTCATAGAGGGGGCTAATACTTTTTTTTTCCAGTTCTCAGTGTTAGCGCTTTCAATCTCCTGAACAAAGTAATGGTAACACATGTGCGGGGGGCTTAGTTGCCCCTACAGCCCCGGACATGTCGTAGCAACGTTATGCCACAGACCTGGGACCCGTTTCCTGGTCGGTGTACATACGTATCAGTACCAGGCTTAGCCTGGCATCAGCAGATCGTAAGAAATGTAAAAAAAATATTTCCTGATTCACATGACCTTGCCCTAATTGATTTTATCAGATCACGTTTACTTTCTTTCCAGAAAGCACTTGGAAATATTTCCCAACGCACAAACAGATTTGCTGTATCATGCCCCCATTATTCGTACAGAGGCCCATGGCACAGTGCCTAAAGTGTCTGTTGGACCACGGAGGAAGGACATCCTTCCTCCGTGGTTGGACCTTGGAACATGTGGTAGGTGTTGGACTTTGTGTCGTTCAAGTCACAACCGAAAATATGAAACAAGGAAAGTGCAACCAAAGACTTTTGCTCTGACTTGTTAGCACTGCCCCGAGCAGGACCAAGAGAGAGCGCAATTTTCCTCGCAGCAGCAGAGCTGTACAGTGGCACCAGCTTCCGATTCTGGGAGCACAATGTCCATGTATTTGAAATTTCCTCGTTATTTCACATCACAATTTACGTTATTCTAACTTTCATATCTTAAACCTAGTTTCAATATAAATAAAATGGTTCTTACTAAGAGTGGCGAAGCAAAAAACAAAACAAAAAAGACATTTATTGTCCAAAGGGCCATAAGGAAATGATCCCAAAATTAAAATGTATTTGTCCAAAAGGGTTTTTTCAGGGTTTGGGTGGGGAGGGGGTAGATAGGAGAAACGGACAGGGTGTGGTTAAGTGTTCATTAGGCCATTCCGCCATCCACACTACGGCCATGGTGTTTGTAATGTTAATTGTGATGGTAAATCAACTCTATAGAGGATTTTTCTACATGGATTTTTCTTTTGGGAGGAATAAACGTCCAGTGACATCAGAACAAAATCACTCTCCCATTATTGGACTCTGGTCTTCCTCACCAGGGAACCACACCTCACCCCACGTGGGCTAATCTTACCCTGAAATCGACATTACACGTCGCTTCACTACATACATAAACACTGAAAACCTCAAGCGTCAGTTGGTAAAGAATCATTTCCATAGCAGATTTGGAAATGAATCGATGTGTACGTGTACACTGGTATGATATTTGAGCCGTTCACGCTTGAAGGATGCAACGTTTTCCCTTTACAATTGCACAGAAGACAAGCACTACACAGCGCGGTCATTCTTAGACTGAAAGTTGACCCCTGATGGCACGCGTCAGGTAAAATAACATGCAAAATGTTTAGAATTTGTAAAACTTTTTCATCCAGTTACTTCTTAAAAACTAAACTAATAAAATGGCCTTTGTAAATTATTTCCTACCACATTAAAAATCACCTTACTTCAGAGATAAATATCCGGCCAAATACTGACCTATCACTTCCCGAAAATGTAAAATACATGAAGAACAGTGCAATTCCGAGGTCTCAAACGCAGACTAACTGTCACAGAATTATACTTTATGGTAGTCTGTCCGGAAAGGCCAAAATAAAAAGGGATCAAATTTTTTCAGGGTTGTTTTGATTCATTAACTGCGTTTACGAAAGATTCCCAGGTTTCATTTAACCTTTGTTGACATGAACTGTGTCCGGTCAACTCAACTGGATTCAGAACACATTGAGTGCAGGTAGGTAAATCTCTGCAACGTTGTACAATCTCGCTTTCAATCTCGCACAGGGAGTGAAAACAAAATAATGTGCATGAACAAGGAGACCTAGGAACGATATTGCCGGAAGTAAAAGTTAATGGGATTCGTTTTTTACCCATCTCCTGTTTACTTTTTCAAAAATATTACTCAAGGAAGACAAAGGTTAAATTCCAACGTGAGTTTTCATGGGGGGGTTTCAGGTAGGAATAATTCTTCCAAAACTTATTGAACGTGATAGGACGGTCTCATGTAAAATCCCGATTGGGGAACGACCGCCAGGGGTTTTGAGCTAGCGCTGCGTGATCTTTTACTGTCAGGCCCTATTACGAAAGTATCTTATGCATGTGCACATTCAGATCACGATACTTTTCATTTTTTTTCTCAGCAGGCCGCTTTGAATGGTGAATACATTTTGAATTGAAATGATTCGTTATTGCCATTCAAAGTGACATACTAAGAATAAATGAGGCAACCACCATGCACTAACAGGGGACTAGTATTAGTCCTGCTTCGATATTGGAATGAAACTTGTATAAATAAACATAGTACCTCAATAAACTCAAGGGTGATAGCTAGTCATGATTCAACACCAGCAAGGATGACTTACCAGTGATGACTTGTGACTTAAGAGTCTCGGATTTCACAAACATATTACCGGTACTTCTATTAAAAACTCTGTAGTGCCATTAAGTGAATTGAGATTTGTTTTTTTTCTCAAGGTTTGTTTGTAGAAGACATAATTATGCCCTCCAGTGAGTTCTTATGAGTTTTATATTGAGATATATTGTTTCTCTTTATGGAAACAAATCGTTTTTACGAGATATATTTTTCAGAATTCGGCTTTAGGAGATTTCTTTTTGTCCGTATTATGAGTTTTGTATTTGAAATTTATTTGTAAGAAATAAATTTAACCTGAAAGTATGTATCTCTTGAAATGAAACTAGGCCCCAGATCTAAAAAATAAAGATTATCTACCATTTTGTATATGCACATGGCTGTACACATATTTCAACCTTAACATCAGCTTCTGCAGCACTAAATGAACAAGTATTTCGGGACTCAAACTTGGACTCGACTCTGCCAGTGGCACGGGCGTCGATCGCAACAATTTATTTTTCCGGAGATCAACCACAGTTTTCCGGGGGAGCAAAAACTCTCATCAGCAACGAACTGGTAAAACAATCTACAATGGGAGGGGAGATTCTTAGATTAATTCCAGCATAGTAGTTTCTGTTCATCCCCTTTCATCTCTTTTATTATTATTTCTTTATGTTTTCACTTTTTAAAATTTGTGTGCGCCCTAGCCCCCCCCCCTTTTTCGACGCCCATGGACTCTGCAGACTCAAACAAAGCACGTTTAGAGAAGTCCGGAGCTGAGTTAGAGGAACAACAAAAATCAACTGAAAATAGTGCTCAACTTGTGAGAAGAAACACATAATGTAAACTACAGAACTTTGAGTCTGATTTGGTTATTTTTGTACGGTCTATTGCCGGAAATCGTTTATAGATGATTATTTAAGTCACATTATGATTAGATCACTATAAGGGTCACGTACCATCATATCAAAGGCAGATTCTCTTGGTATAGGTAAACTAGAATATGTTACAGTTTAAATTAAAATTAACGTTCTAATGATGTCATTGTGGTTATATGATGTCAAGTTAAAGGTGAACATAAAAAATCCTTATAAAAAATGCGAGTTTGATTGGCTTCAGTTCTAGTATGTGAGTAGAACCTGGTGTGTTGGTGAAACATAAATTGAAATATATTAAAACCTTTATTTTTTTGGGGGGTTTCACGTGACGTCACCATAAAGGTTACATTTTAAGGTCCTCTAAGAAGAAATGTAGACCCAACTTTGTCCTTTGTATGTAGGTAGACAGGGGTGCATCACAGGTGAAACTAATGAGGACGTTATGATGACATCATCCTGTGGGTTCTTGTATTTTGTATATCGTGTGGACGTTTTGTATTTTGCCTACCCTTTAAAAGCAAGTAGGCTATGCATGTATGCTTTAAGTCCATTTTATCGAAACCCAGAAATGAGGAAAAGCCCGACATGTTCTGTTGCAAACAGACGTAATTGGCTTCTCTGAAGCGTAAATGCCATCCCTATGACAACGACAAATGATTCATTAAGTGATCTGTACCAAAGTAGGATCAATATTACAAACAGGTACAAGAGCTATACATGGGTTAAAAAAACCATAGCGTTCGTGTAGTTATCAGTGGGGGTTCAGATACGTCACTCGAACGGATCATTCAGTAAGAACAGTACAATATGTTACGAAATGTGATATTAGCCGTTGCTTACACCTGTGTTCAAGCTTGTGCTTATAAGGTATGTATTCCCGCAAACCATGGGTTAAACCTGAACAGA